AAAATCCTTGTTTCTCTAAATGTTATTGTAATGTTTTGGTTTCTAGAAATATCCCGGTGTCAGTAAGTTTAAACAATAGAAGAACGAATGTAAATGTCAAGTAGTAACAATAGAATCAGTAATACAATAATTACTGGCTGCTATCTACTTTTATTTCTACTATTTTACTGTAATTACTGTTCTCTAGTATTTATTTATTCTCTCTATTTCATTGTATTTATCTACCTCTAACTCACATTAACCGTTATAATCACACACAATAAATATAAACACATCACAAATAGTAACCTAAAAAGTACGACTGATAGTTCTCACTTTTACCATACTGTATTTTGAAATCATAATCTGCACTCTATTGGACTTACTGTTGGCTTTTTTCACTATTGATTGCTATCTTCACAAAGTTAGCTTGTTCTTGATGTAATTGTCAAAAAAATATGCAAATATATGGTAATGTACATAATTTTCATGAAGAATAACTTTATTTAATACTGTATTATCAATTCTTCAGTTCTTGGTAATGTCAGAATTCTTCAGTAATATTTTGTGTTTGAAGATTTTCATTTAAATGATGCAGACAAAAGAATCTGTAAATAATTGTAGCCTGTAGAGTGAGCTTGAGACAAGTGTGACCGACAGACCGCCAGAGTGATTACAAGATATGCCCAAAATATATTTGTGGGCTTTTAAAAGTGAAATGTATAGATTTTTACTCTTTTTGTTTCAAACTTGAAGAATCAAACTTGAAGAATCACATTGAGACAGTTAACAGGCAGTAATGAAGTTTTATTTCAAGTTTCAAAGATAAAGAACTAAGTTAGATTGAGATGAACTGTCTTGTGATATCATGGAATAGAAAAGATAAGATTATAAGAATAGTAAATTAAGTGTTAAAGAGAGCTGGCTATTTATCTGGATGATAAAAACAGACAGACATTTTGTATCAATCATCCTAACCAACTTGATAGCAGCTTCATTCTTTATCTACAATATACTCTGTACTCTTATGTCTACTTGTTGGACTTTTAAAAGAGCTCAATAGAGTGGGTCAAACCAGAGTATTCTCCCCTGCTGGTTGCTGACAGGATTCAACACAAATGACAATTTCTGGATTTCTGATAGAGATATTGATTTATTTTAGTTTAAGAAAGTATATCAATATTGCAGTTTATTCCTTTCAATATCAAGAATTTTGATGACAGGTAAAAGGTGTACTTTGACTAGAATGATGATTATTTTTTCTAGATTTGTAAAAATGCAGTAACAGTTATGTCTTGAACAAACTGGATGATCAGCTACTTCTTGTTGGATAAAATCTCCTTCAATTATAGACAATTTTCTGACCACAACCTCTCAATGTAATTCAATTTGTGTCAACCAATTAAGAATAATAGTTACAAAGTTGAAAATGGAAAGGAGATAACTCCATTTAATGAAATGTATTGTAGATTTTACAGGCCAGTGGTAATTACATGCAACACAACAATTCCAATTGAATCTTTATGTATCGGGCAATAAAAGTAGAGGATTATTGTAAAACATGGAGAAACAGAAAGGTCAGACATTGTTTCTGAGGAAAAGGTCATGTAAATCTCTACACGATGTAAAATAGTGAATGACAGATGAGATAGAGTTTTCAGTACCAATGTAAAATAGTGAATGACAGATGAGATAGAGTTTTCAGTACCGATGTAAAATAGAGAATGACAGATGAGATAGAGTTTTCAGTACCGATGTAAAATAGTGAATGACAGATGAGATAGAGTTTTCAGTACCGATGTAAAATAGTGAATGACAGATGAGATGGAGTTTTCAGTACCATTCTGATTTAATAGAGCAGGGCATGTTAAATTAAATTTAGACATTTCAACTACCACTCATGGTACGCTACTTTGTTTTGAACTGTTTACGAGCAAATGACACACAAAATTTCAATTTGGAGTCAGATTGAATTGATAAGACTGTTATCAACAATAAGCAAGGTCAACTTAATTGCCCTTTCTCAAGAATGTGTGAGGATAAATTTCATCTAAAAGTATCTTTAAATAGTTTAATCAATTCCATTTCTAATAGTGTAAAATATAATTAGCTTTGAGTTGGGATGGGAGGAGGAGGGTTAAAAGACGTCAAGGTGTCAATTTTATGCAGTGACACAAAGTTACCATTTTATTCATTGCATTAAGAGCCTCATTCTGGATATAATATGGCTGACACGTGAATAAGGTATATAAGATACAAAAAGATGGAATAGAGAAAAAGTAAACTCATGGAATTCTGTTGAATATTTTTATTCATTGGAGTTAGTTTTCAAAAATGAAAACATTTCATGACTAGATGGTCAAACATCTTATTTACAAATATTATACAAGTTACTGATATATTGTGGAGCAAATATATTTGTGCACATCCCGGTCTGATTCAAACCATAAACACGAGTAGTGGACTTTATTTTAGGTATTTATAAGTAGTTATGCACACAATATAAGTCTGGCTTGTATAGTTTCAGTTACTATTTATTTGACTCCAAAATAAAGTTGACTGCTGATGTGTATGGTTTGATTTAAAGAAGAATGTGTACAAATCTCTTTGCTTGATTATATAATACAATTTCATAACAGATCTTAAAGCATGATATTTACAGGGGCTAGCAGTTAGCGAGAATGTTTAATTATGAAAAACAGTCTCCTTATGTCAGTCCAAAATATCAAAAGGTTATGACCCCTGTTTCTTTCAATTAGTTTCAACATCTACAAAAAAAAAAAAATCATTTGTGATTTTTGTGAATTTTTGTTGTCCTGAACTATATTAAGTACCTTATCATAAAAGAACAATACTAGTTACCCCTTGCTATAAATAATTTTTGGCATAAATAATGGGACAATTCCACCATTAGTAAACAAGCACTATGTACATGAAATATATACATATAAATTCATTGTGGTTTGAAGGCTCTTCCATATTAAGAGTTATTTCCCTTTACATATTAACAAAGTGTTCATTGAGTGAAGCGTTCACAATTTAAAATTAACTGCTGCTCTCTTTATTGTATAAAAGGGAGTAAATATCAAGGGTGGCACCGCCTGCTTTTCTCTATTTTGGCTAAAAGAATTCTACCCTTCACTGCAATGGAAAATTGCTGTAAACACACTTGATAAATATAATTAACTATGCAATCATCAAATATTAAATATCAACGAAAGTACAAAATTTTCATGAAATCAGATTTTGCTTTATAAGCTCAGTTACCCAATGGCTTACCTATTGATTTAAACTTAAATAATGAGCTACTTTTCATAGTTAACGACCCTACTGTAATTATGTTCCATGCTATATTATACCATAGCTTGTTTTAATTTGATATTTATTATATGAATTAACAATAATAATGACTCATACAAAATTAAGGTTAAATTTCATCAATAAATATATAAAAGTATGAACACATTTGTAAGTTCATATCATTGCACTTTTACAATACACCACAGTTTCCTGTAGAAACAGATTTAAGGTTACAAAAGAAGAAATTGGTGTATTACACCCATAAGATATATTATATTTTCAATAACCACTTTCACCCATAAAGAATTTTGAATGACATCTGATAAGACACAATATGTCAATGTCAATGTGTAAAATCCCTGCCTCTATCATTTAGGCTACAAGAAAAGCAGAGTAGGCTATTTCTGGTATGTAAAATTTCAATTTGAAAATATTAAGTACAGCTTGGTTAATTTTGTGCACCTAAAATAGTGTTCAAAACTCATAAACTTTTTAATATTCAAAACTATAATTCTTTCTAAAACGTAAAAATAAATAATCAAAAAACAGAATCCATAATTCATGAAAGTGACAGATGCCTGTGGTTTATAAATTATATAATAATGATTATTCTATTATGCATAATGTATGATTGATGGTAATTATATTTCCATGACAAATGAATTCTTGGTTTCCAGATGTTGAAATAAGCATAAATATTTCAACTGTTTGACTGAGCTATTCTTTAAGAATTATTTGAGAAAAATACTTATCTAGAAATACGGCAAACAATTTCAAAAAATAAACAGAACCTTAGAAATTTTGGATTTCATGATGTAATGTAATGTAGATTACTTCCATGTGCTGAACATTAAAGTTGGGGTATATACTTGGTATGTTTTGAAAATCAAACTTGTTAATTCAGAAACAATATATTCCACTATAATATAAAATATCCAAAATAAATTAAGTGAAAAGCTAACTGTTTGTTGGCTAGTTGAATTGACTAAATTAAAACCTTACTTTGCTGCCAATTACTGATGTTTTAAGTAATTTCATAATAATATTTGCGATAAAATTGCTTTAGTTATCTTTCTTGGGCCAAACCTGACTGTTACCAACTCAGAACAAAATGTTATATAAACCTAAGCTGCCTATTGCTGTGTATATAAGTATATTATAAGGAATTGTGAATATTATACTTTCTAGCACCAAAACGAAACAAAACCACTAAAAATGACAAGTAAAATTATTAGAGAAATAAAACCCTGACTACTAGTACATTCTAAGTTAAATACTAAATTATCATAATACTCTGTTTTCATTGTTTATAGCACTTTTATAACAAAAACCACTTCAACTCTTATATTTCACTCATAGTTTGTTCAAGTTAATAATTCCCGTTTACACGAATCACAATGTGTCTTATTTAAGGTCATATGTGAGCCTTTTCTTTCAGAATTCACCACACAATCCAAAATTCCAAAAGATCTGACATAGACTTCCTTCACTGCAATCATAGATTATTGCCTTCTTTAGAGAGTCAAAAAGCATCACAAGTCCTAAAACGCACTGGCCTCAATAGAGCACTGAATGATTGTAAGAAATGTCAAAATTGGATTAATGTGAATTATATTTATATGTAACGCAAAATGTCAAACTTAATAACACAGAATCCATGAAAATATGTAATATGCCATGATTTATTTACATGAAAATACTGACTGAGTTACATCCCCTGATCAGGACCACGGAAACCTTCTATTTAACATTTTAAACAGTTTTTCGTTGTGAGGGCGGAAAAATTTATTAAACCTTTGTATAAGATTTGGATCAATATCTGGATGTCTCCGTCCTTTACTAGCACCTAAACACTTCTCCATCGTAGAATTCACACGCATACAATAAAATCCTCGAGTCGTATTAAAATACAGTTTATCATACGTTATTTCATGTGATAATCCAAGGAATTTTTCAATTTTACGGATTTCTGACACTGGATCAACTATTAAATTGTCTCCATCCACAATGTGAATTTGGTTACGCGGGAATATTTTTAACCACCGTGCAAAATTGTGATGATATACACTAATTTGTAAAGCTTTATATCTCATATTTAAATCTCCAGTCTCTGGATCCAGAGCCATTGTTTCAAATTTATCAGGCGTTTCATTTTTCATGAGTTTATTATAATATATCTGTGTATAGTCAGATATAACCCGTATTGTGGGATGACGTAATGACACTATTATTTTCATATCACTGTTTAAACGTTTAATTCGATACGGAACACCGTGTGATATAAAATATCTAGGAGTTTTCTCCAGTGTAATTTGGTTTGGAAGTGAATATGGCATACTCTTACGATACCATTCTAATCCTTGATTATAATTTTTATCATCGTCAAAAAAATGAACTTCATGATATGCTGATTGGATTCCAGTATGGAGATCTAAAAATTCCAATAACGCTCGAGTTCCACATTTCCTTACTCCGATGATTAAACATTTCGGAAACTGTTGTATAGCACCATCTGGATGAGGTCGTTCCACAATTTTGCCATTCTCCTCTAACAATTTACGAAATCCGCTACCAGCTATAACATTACTGACTGGTCGATTTCCGATTGTATCCCATAATGACTGATTACAATAAAATACTATACAGAAGAACACGGCTAACGGGACCAGACAACTCCATCGCTGCCCACGCCTCATATTGTGTACACAAGTCTGGTATTCTTCCTTCTCATTGCTTTCTCTTCTCTCAGAATCTACTAGAGTTTTACTTCCATCAGAGATATCTTCCCAACCAGACATCACTGGTTATATACATCTGAAATACAGAATAAAAATAGGGTCAAAAATTTGCATAAATATATAAGTTGTATAATTATTTCAGCTGATTTATATTCAATATACCTCTTAATTATGCACAAAAAACATTGGTCCATTATGTGCTTATTCATTTGACACTAAAACACTAAACTGATTTTATAAAAATACAAATTCTACAATAAATGAATATCTGACATAGGATTTGTCCAATTTCCTAAAAATTCACATTTCAAAAAAAGAATTTTAACATATCACAGGAATTTTATCTTGTTTTCTGTCCGAGCAGCAGATCATTAACATTTCATGATTAGAAAATGTGCATTATGACCTTCAGAACTAGTGATTACAAATCTCAAAACATGCCATAATTCAACAGGAAACACATCCTTGATACACTTGATATACAGCCTATAGTTTCCATACAATAATATATATTCCAATTTAATCATTATCAACAATTATTATATAATATTGACTTGATGATTAAAGCAATATTAATTCACTAAGATGTAAATACTGAATCTAAAAGTTTCAACCACACACCTAAACCAACATTAAAAAATATTTAACGGATAACATCAAATTATTCAATGTGCAAGTTAACAGAAAATGAATATATCTTTTTTGTCAGAAAGTTAAGCTTTTAAGTGAAAAAAATCCCATTAAATGTAACACATACTTAGAATTTGGTTTGCTCCTTTTTCTCGAATGTTTATTCCAAACTTTTCTTCAAAAAAGCCCTGTGAACTTTAGACTACCCTTTCCTCTACAGGCTTAAATACACTTCTTAAACTAGATACAAGTAACTATCAAATATAACATGTCTTTGAGAAGTGACCCCGACTGAACTGAAGGACCATTGACAAGTTTGACCACTAGTATCTAATGAATGATAACATGGACTGGTCAATCTCTTCACAAACTCTTACAGCTTTATACTGATATTACCTCAAGTGGACAAACTCGCCAGGTGCCCTGCACGTTGACAGGTCAATGTTTACAATTAGTGGGCATCCAATCAACAACTCAATAGGAGAGTTTCTAACACTGCCCTGTGGTCAAGAAATTAACACTACTCTGTGGTCAACAAATTAACACTGCCCTGTGGTCACTCATTAATTAAACAAAAGATAAGAGATGTAATTGTGTGGTAAGGTAAATAAAATATAAGGTAAAGATGAAGAGATTAATTGTTTCACTGTATCTATATAACCTAGGATTAATCAGAATTAATTAAATATTTAATGAGGTTGTCCCTCAATTAGTTTACAATAAACACAGTAGTTTATAAACAATGGAGGTCCACAATGGTTGATCAGATGACAACACTCACACAGTTAGAAAACAATGGTATATCAGAACAGTTGATAGGTATGTCAACTCTCTGAAAGGGATCCAATATACGATGATACCTTTACAATAATCAAGTATATTTAGAAAACAATAGTGGTCTATAAGGTGATGACTTAAGGATACTATAGAATAACTAGAAAACAATAAAGATGTTTAAATTATATTGTTTATAACTACTATCACTAGATAGTATATTCACAATACACAGGAAATCTCCTATAGTAATAACATTATCATCATTATATGTAATAATGGTCATAAAATGTCACTCCATTGCCATCTGACACTATAATAACTGATTTCACACGCCACTCCAAATAGATATGACCCTCCATGGATAGTGCTTTTGAGACTCATGATGCATCACTTGATGCAGTCGTGTGTCTTTGATTTGTCAAATTTGCCGCCATGTTGTGGAGTTCCTCTACCGAGTTAATTGCTATTACTAACACCTTGTGTATTCAACTCATTAAAATTGTATGAAACCAGAATCAAATACAAAACCTCAGTTATGTAAATTGTTAGAAAAACGGTTAACTTGTATAAAACTCTGCAGATAGGATTGCTACTGGAATTACAATAATCAAATCAAAATATTGCTGCAAATGAAACAAAAGTCATCTCAAGTTTTATATACTCTTAGAGTAAATGTGAAGAAAATTAGATAACTGCATCTAAAGACCTGGACACCTGATAGCCTTTTCATTCTGACTGATATACTTCTTCATATGAAATGTTCATTAACTGTTACCAATGGTATTGCCAAACTATTATTTTGGACTTCAAGTTTTGTATTGTGGTATTGTATTGGGACAAACTAAGTTTTTATATTCAAATTAATTTAAACATGTTAAGAATAATTGTCTGTATATAAATAATAATTATAAAAAATACTCAGGAAATATTAAAAACATAGTGAATACAGCTGGTGTTTTATACCAATCTGTCCAGGTGTATATTATTGATAATAATCTGGTATTTACACTAGGTTGTAATTAACACCAGACATATATTAATACTTTTTAGCAATTAACACTTTATATACCAATATCATACTGAACCTTTCTCATCCTATACATATATCAAAATCGCAGCCATATTTTTATAGGGTGATAAGATGCTAATTATGTGTCATGAGTGAACTCAAAGAAAACCATTCCAACTACTAACTGCTAAGGCTACCTAGCATCCGCTGGAAGCGAACATTAACTTGTCATCTACCAACCAACCAACTCAAAGAAAGGATTCGAGAAACATGACACTATAAAGTTAGTACTGTGGATTTAACTTTTGCTTGGTCGAACATTAATTTTTAGATTTGCAATTTGATGCATATCCGTAGGGAATGTAAATTTGTGGGCTCAAGCTTTTTCCAAACGCATTTATATATCATTTTGAAACTCATAAGGGGACAGAGTTCATGGAATGGCCAGAGCAGAACTTGATTATAATTGATCTACAATTCTACATAATCTGATAATTACAGTATTTTATTATAATCATTTAACCCATCTGCTCTATACAGATTTTGTGTTGTTTCTCAAAGCTTTGTCATTCAATATTGACTTTAATGCAATTAAAATATTCAGCTATACCGTTTTTTATTCACAATATCTTGATTGTTGAATAATTGAAATAAAGCATTCAATAGTATTGTTTGGAGCCTAATGGATTAGAACATTATCAGAAAATGTGATTCAACTTCCTCTTTGAAACTGAGATTAGACAGATAGAGCATTATTCAAATCAATATCATCTCATTAAAACTCAATTTTAAAGTTATTCAGTTGTCTAACAACTATCTGTATTTCACCTTTGTCTCTGATATTTCTCTATCACTTTTCACAATCAATTCTAATGTCACGTCCACATACAATTAGTCAAAATTGTTCTGTATCAGTTTTAGATTATCTCTTCTAGGTTAGCAATTTATTGACTGCAAGTTTGACTGCTAATATTATAAAATTATACATCATAACCAACAATCAGAAAGTCTAAACATCCACATTGTGAAAAGCGATACAGGTAGCTAAAGTTGAGATTTTATCAGCATTATAAAGCAAATATTTAGACAACTGTATCCCTCTAATCTTTGTTGAATAAAAAAACCGAAGAGAAAATAATATTGAAAAGAATAAATTAGTTATTGTTTCTAATGATTGACACATGTTCTCCTTCAATTATTCCTTATCAAAGTTTCAAGTATCCTAGACTTGTCAATACATCCGTTCTGACTCGTATTTACATTGATTTTACTTTCACCAACAGTCAACTTCTACTAAAATCTATTGTTACACTTCACAATGTGGCATTCTATTTCAGACTTGGCGTACTTTAAAACTAAATATAGAATACATTTCAATTGATAATATCAACATAAGTATATTTCAAATTTTAAAAACTTTAATATTTTTAATATTTGAACCAATATACAAATTTGAAAGGAAAAATTTTAAGCATATCTTTAGCTCATTCATTTGTAAGTTTGTTAATATTTACACACTCGAAATTTCAACCTTTTTCTCCAATAAAAGAAATGATTTTTGAATAGGACATGTGCCTATATTTTATGTCAAGACTGAATATATTGGCAGGATGGTTGGTTAAGAATACTAGGCCCATCTTTCTTGTGTTCAATAAATTAAAGTTTTATTTTCATACTGAGGAACTTGCTTTATATTAATAGACTGAAGACAAATCTTTTTGTTAAAACAAAAGCCAACTGGTTTAAATGTAACCATAGATATGCAAGTAGGTTAAAGGCATTGTAACATATAGATTTCTGAGTTGATAATATCAAAATAATTTTTCAACACAACTTTTAGTAAGCATTCCTGAAATGTTCAAGAAAATTATAGACATGTATATCACTTGTCCTATAGGTCATAATATTTCAAATGCAAAGAAATAACTTTTCAATATATTATCAAGAAAATGGGGGCCAAAAGACATTTTATACCAGCCTAGAATAAGTGGGGAGGATGTTAATTTAGCCAAGAGCAAGGTACAGTGAATAGAAATTGTTTTATTGTGTATTGTGAACTCAGCTACAAAAAAGATTAAAAAGGTTTAAATATGAAGGCAAGAAAACAATGGCTGACTTTCTCCTCCTTCTATTTGTTGATTTAAATTGTTTACTTTGATGCAAGATTTTCTAACCTGAAGATTTTTTCATTAAAAGAATAAATATAGCTATTGTATTGTGTGGCTTGAAGTTCAAGTTTAAATCAAATAAAAAATTGTAATGTTTGAGGACACACTTTAAACTTTCTGACACACAGAGTAGAGTTTGGTATTTTGATCATGTTATTGGGTTTATTTCCAGGTCTTTGACCGCTGAAGCTTGTATAATTTAACCAGTCAATGTGACCACATTCATATGCTTCCAAAATATTCTGAACATTTCACCCTTTTTACTATAATGTGACACTTATTGCTTTACTTTTCCATTCTGTTGTTAACTTCTTTTCCTATTTTTATCTTTATCCAATATAACCGGAACATGTAAGAACTGAGATCAACCAACA